ACCATCCTCGGCTTCTCTCATCCAGCTCATGCGAACCACCCCGCATAGACCGTCACTTCGCTGAGCCGAGGGCGCTCTGCACTACATTTCCCAATTATTTGATTATAAAAGGTATTTTAAGTGAATCGACACGTATCAGTAAATTGAATAACACACCGTGGATTCTATTGCATCATGGTGCTGGTGACGTGACGGAACCCGCGTCACGTCCGTACACCGTCACGCGTAGAAGTTCCCCATTGAATAGAATTATAAGGGGCGATCAAATGAAGTCGTCGTGACCTAAAGGATAAGACGTCCGGTGCATTTGGATCTAGCGATGCACCGATGTTCGAATCCTGCAGGCGGGTACCAATTTTTCTAATGAAATACGTACTTAACAATTGTTCACGTAATTACTGGTGGTAAGACCTCTTGTGAGTCCGCACGGGTAGGTACCACCGCCCCGCCTATTTCTGCCGTGAAGCAGTAATGCGTTTCGGTTTGAAGGGTGGGGCAGCCGTTGTAACTATACTGAGACCTTAGAACTTATATCTCAAGGTGGGTGGCGCATTTACGTTGTAGATGTCTATGGGCTCCAGTACCACTTAATATCAGGTGGGCTGTGAGCTCGTCCACCCATATAAGCAATTAAAAAAAAAGTACTTACTTTTATTAGAGTTAATTAATATATGTTGTCATAAAAGCCTATATATTATAATATTATCAATTTAAAAGTTAAAAATACTTTTTTTTTTGTTGCTTACATGGGTGGACGAGCTCACAGCCCACCTGATGTTAAGTGGTTAGTGGAGCCCATAGACATCTACGACGCAAATGCGCCACCCACCCTGTAATATGAGTTCTGAGGTCTCACTTTTAACAGTACAACAGTTGCCCCGCTCTTCAAACCGAAACGCATTACTGCTTCACGGCAGAAATAGGCAGGGTGGTGGTAACTACCCGCGCGGACTCACAAATACATGACTTCGACTTCTCGAATCAAACATTTAATTTTCAAATCTAAGCTTCGCTTGCGAGGTTTCGTAGAAGTCGAGAACTTTCGATAGCTCATGATTGTTATTCAAAACAAATAAAACTGAGAACTAACGTTTTTTCCATTTTGTAATCTGCTATCACAAGAAGGTCATTTCGTCGCATCGCAGAGTCGACATGTGTGAGGGTAAAGACTTGTAAGAAAAATAATGTACACGTGATCACAGAATATACTGATTTAATAATCATATAATAACATGTTTTATAGTAAGGTTTCCTTAAAAACTGCAATTCATTCTAAATAATTTATGTCAACTTGGATGTTATGCATAGCCTTAATAAAAAAAAGGGTGTGTATACTTAAATACGCGCGTAAGAACCTATACTTTATTTTTATTAATTTTTTTTTTTTTAATTTAAATATTAGTCAATTTGAAAAAAAATCGATTAAACAACATCCTCAAACACGCATATTGGACATCCCTTTTCTTGACATCGTATAAATTCGGTAATTCTCGGTACGGTTCGGAAAGTTCACCTGCGGCTATATTCAGACTCAGTCGTATTGTAATGAGCGATTTAGTAGGCAACTTCATTCTGTTAATTTTGTGTCACGGTGCGCGCGCATCGTAAAATTTCACTCTCATCAATTTTTCATAACGTGCTCTAAAGAACCCGCAAAACAAACTCGGCAACCTAATATTTCCACAACTTACTTACTTATTTTTAAGCTGAAAATTGTATCTAATGTTTCAACAAACACGAGAAAAGTGTAGTGTAATACCGAAGTGAGATTATAATATCGAGGGCACAATGTTAGGTACTAAAACCACCAATCGCCTCCGGTGTCACGTTCTAGGCAGACCGAATTCTTTTCACGGATGAGTCGTTACGGCGCGGGTCCTTGATTACAAATCCGTTACAGCCCCTCGATCTATTCCGTATTCAGACATGAAATTTTAGCTTACATTCTGGTGGCGCTCGATATAACGTGCATACCAGGGGCTCCCAAACTTTTTTTGTCCACTGCCCACTTTGAGAATAAATTATTGTTTAGCGCCCCCATTTTTTCACCTATTAAAAAACCACTTGTTTTTATTGTCTTTGTAGGCAGACGAGCATACGGCCCACCTGATGGTAAGTGGTCACCGTCGCTCATAGGCGTCAGCAATGCCAGGAGCAGAGCCAAGCCTATTTTTTTTCTGTGTCTCTTTCCGCCCCCCTTTAGGCCTGCAGCGCCCACAGGGGGGCGTTATCGCCCACTTTGGGAAAGGCTGGTGTATACAAATGTGTAATGTGTATATGTAACGCGTCTAGCAATAATACGAAGTATTTCAACATCTAAATCTGTGCGTCGGTTTTTTTGTCATAGATGTCATAGGTGCACGAGATATCATTTCTGTGCGTGTTTGAAATGACGAGATTTATAATTCCGAGAAATTGTCGAAAGGCCGAGAATACGACACCAATGTAATCATCTGCCGAAATCTAAAATTGTTTGTACGATCCAAAAGGCGAACTCATTTGCCTAACGTTCGTTTTTCACGAGATATGAATTTATTTATTTGTCTATATCCACAAGCACAATGCGTACTCACTCTTTTTGAAACGGTAAATAATATTTTGACAATGCAATTTAAATAGTCTGCTTTTATTTAACTTTATCATATAAGCTGAGTAGCTGAAATGCGTTGCAATCTTCATTTGACTACGGGTTGAAATTGGGATGTCTATGGTTTTTATATTTACGCAGCTGGTTCTGAGGAAATTCTTCCGCAACTAAGGTATAACATCGTCCTTGCGGCGATAATCCTCATGCTGAGGGTCGTGGCCTCATGAGGCTTTCTTGGGAAAATACACATGGTGGGGTTCCGCGTCCGTCCACGGAAGTGCTTTTGGAATAAATTTTGTTCTTCGGGGCTGCTGAAGTCTTTTTTGGGTATACAAAGAGATATATATATAATTAAATAGAATAGATATAGAATGGAATTATTCTTCTGTACATGTGTATGTGACTGAGCTCTTCTCCGCGGCTTCTAAACAGCTGAACTGATTTTGAGGAGTTTTTCGTATGTATTAAAGTTCATTCCAGAATGGTTTAGATTCACAATTTGGTCCACTACAAAATGTATTATTTAATGAAAAAAAAAACATAGGAATAGTTTGAAGTTCTCGATTTTAAGACTTGTGTATGTTGGATCCGCTGGTCTAAATGTAAGAAAGCAAAGAGAAAACAGTTAAGTACCGTTGTCTCTTCCTCTACGGCTTTTGAAAGTCGTAATTTGAGCTACTTTTACGACTTCATATCACGTTTTTTTATTTATTTTTTATTACCTATATTATTATTTCCTACATTTCGAATACTTTTACTGTTTTCATAGACATTTGAATAAAGTGCTAAGTAATGATATCACAAGCTTACTACAATAATGTTCTTTTTTTATGTGTTTATGTGCTTTTTTTTTATGTGATTGTCGAAGCTATAAAAAAAAAAATAAAAAAAAAAAAAAAAAAATCAGCTACAAAGTTAATACCGCCTCTCACCTCGAGACATGTGCTCTAAAATCTCATTTTTCAGTACGCAGGCAGCGGCTTGGCTCTGCCCCTGGCATTGCTGAGGTCCATGGGCGACGGTAACCACTCACCATCAGGTGGTGGGCCGTATACTCGTAACAAGGGAAATAAAAAAAAACGCCTGCCCCTCCATTCAAGCAGAAACGCATTACTGCTTCACGGCAGAAATACATAAGGGGTGGTATCTACCCGTGCGGACTCTGAAGACGTCCTACCAGCAGTACAATTGTTTTATTAGTTTTAATTAAAAAATAAAATAAAAATTGTTAATAATCAGACAAACGAGATGGAAAATGAATCTAATACGAAGTAAATATAATCAATTTAAGTCTTAAAGTATCAGTAAACAGAGTCGAATTTCGAAAACTGACAGAACCCTTGTATTTATTTATACGCTATTTTATTTTCAAGCAACTTAAAACCGTTTTTACAAACAATTAATCAGACCTAACCACCGTTACAAGCAACTGCAATCATACCTCAAAAACGAACCTTTCCGATCTTGAAAAGACGGTCCAGAAAATTCGATTTAATCCCCAGTACAGGAACAATTGGAACATGTTTTCCTGTTTGAGCTCGGAACGAGAGTAATTTCATAGATGTTTGCCCTCCAAAAGCCTTCCAGACTATGTCATTACCTTTGAAGTAACGCTCGTAAAATTCAAGGGCGAACTGTGTACACCTAGGAGTTTATATTAATGATTCGATACTAAAAACCAATATTTTCTTATGTTACGTTATCATGTTTTCGATTCAGATAGAGGATTATTCAGTCCTAGTTAAACTGAAAACAGTATTCTAGTTTTTCTTTCTATGCCACGTTCTTTAGTCTTTCTAAATATAACCATGAGAAACAGACTTATGTGAGTTCCTACGGGTTGAAGCTATAGTCCAGTCGCGAAACAACACTGGTGGTAGGACCTTTTGTGAGGACGCACGGGGAGGTACCACCACCCCCTCTATTTCTGCTGTGAAGCAGTAATGCGTTTCGGTTTGAAGGGTGGGGCAGCCGCTGTAACTATACTTGAGACCTTAGAACTTATATCTCGAGGTGGGTGGCGCATTTACGTGCTAGATGTCTATTGGCTCCAGTAACCACTTAACGCCAGGTGGGCTGTGAGCTCGTCCACCCATCCAAGCAATAAAAAAAAGCAATCCAATTCCGTGTGAAAGGTAGACCAGGGGTTAATTATAATATAGCTGAGATTTTAATTTCCCTTGAGGCTGGCCGCGACATTATTGTATCTATGGGAACAGTCAGTCAGCGTCAACAATCAGTCGTAGGCTAAAGATAACAAACAAAACATAATTAGAAAAAAAAAATCGTTGAACGGAAAACTTCTCAGTAACCGTTGATAAGCACACATTGATAACAATAACGTTGGGAGCCTTGACATTAGAACCTTGTTTATCTGGCGTCAAGATTCATGTTTAATTAGTTCGAACGGAACATTCGGAGCGATCGCACAATGTTCAAACTTTTACTATTTCTGACTCTTTTAACTATCGTAGCGTGTTGCCACCACGGGCGTTCCCATAAATGTCGTCACGAGAAGCCCAGCAAGTGCCGTCATGGTGGTAAACTCGGCTGCAAAGGGGGCAGGTGGACAGAACGCCCCGGCTTCAAGAAATACGGAAAGGATATAAACGAACAACTAATCGAAGACCTGAGCAGGGACCTGAAGCGAATCGACGACCGTCTTCGCAGGCTGTGCAACGATTATGAAAACGCGGGCACTCGTGAACTGTTCGGGACCTACAGTTACGCGCTGTTCATACCTCTCCCTGGAGTTACCGCTGATGATATCATCGTCAAAAGCAAATACAGATACGTGTACATAACCGCGCGCCGACCACCGCCAGCGAAGCCCTACACGGAGATCAAGAGGCTGCCTAAACTGGTCGACGCGAGTCAAGGTCACTGGGAATACGAGGACAACGAACTAACAGTCCGTTTTAAATATGTAAACTCTGATACGAATGACGGCGATCTCTACAAATGCGGCTTTGATTACAAAGACTCTTGGATCACGGTACCAGAGAGCGATGATAAGTATGAACCGAATATCGATGTAAGGTATGCACTACAGAATGCTGAAGTGAACAACAAAATCAATGATTATTTCAAAAATACCACTACACCACAACCTGACCTCGACACAAACCATCTGGACACTAAGGATCAAGTGAAAACAGAAGACTCATAAAATACCTATATAACATAAGTCATTGTGTTTATATGACCCAGTTTTAGGCACTGTGTATTGTTCATGTTGTCATGTCATTCAATAAACGTTTTGATTTTTCCTATGCAAATAAATAAAATAGAAATGTTGGTTTGTAATATTAAAATAACAACTTTCGACTAAGCAAATATGAAGTATATACAATATATATAATAAATGCAACTTCTCTTTGTTTTATTTTGTCGGTTTGATTGTTCCGGATAAACTCCAAAACGTCTGGACCAATTTTGACGGGATTTTCACTGACTGCTAATATACTACAAGGAGTAATTCAGTTGCCTTGCACGTGTCGTACGAAAGAGAAACCGGGTCACGGATGACCACACTCTTCGATTCACGCCGGTTCACCCATCCAGCGGGGTATCACAAGAGTACAAGTTGTAGGCGCCGTCTTGGTGGGCTTCGGATAGCCCGCCGATTTTGGGGTCCCGCATCCAGTGGGGGCAGGGTGGTGGGGAGACAGAAACGCGTCACCTTGCCTCAAGTCTGCATCGAATAATTTCTGCCAATCCTGATTGGTTCAAATCCGACGTGTCCCATCTACATTACTGACCCCAACACGTAGGTGAAAATCCGGCGATTTCCTCTCAACCCGAAAAAGTTTTTATGTCAAGAATACCCCGCCAATTCAAATAAGGCGTTCTTATATCACACTAGCGGCCCGCTCCGGCTCCGCTCGGGTCTTTAACAAAAATTTCAATTATATTTGACGTTGTTTTATTTTTTAAATAAAAGAACACTTATTGCGGTATAACTACAATAGTTAGACATATGCTGTCGTGACACTTTTTGTAAATAATAATGTGCTCTACAAAGTCGTAGCTACATTATTTTATTCTATCATCAATCATTTTCGCAGGGCAGGCGATGTAAAGAATATTTTAGGTTTTTTTTTACACCTTGGGTTACATTATTGGAGTTTTAGTAAAGATCCCTAATTTTTTTCAAAAAATATTATAGCCTATGTCACTCGGCAATAGTGTAGCTTTCAAACAGTGAAAGATTTTTTCAAATCGGTTCAGTAGTTTCGGAGCCTATCAATACAAACAAACAAACAAATCTTTACTCTTTATAATAGAAGTATAGATTAGGGACATTGAACGAAATAGGTTTGTAAACATATTGTACCTCCTGGTTGGCGCGCTCCAGTTGTTGGAACAATCAAGAGCTATGAGTTAAGTTACGGTAATTTAATTAAGAGACTTAATCTGAATTAACGGGGTAGTCTTGACGTGAAGACTTTAAGGGAACCGGTGAATCGAACTAATAATTATTTAATTCTGTACTTGGGCCGAATCATTTGCGCCATACCTGCAGAATCTATACAAGGCTATTGTTTTTCCGAACTTTGTATCATTATCCGAATTTTACTTTTACATTATGAAAAGCATTCGCGAATGCATGAGACTTTCCTAATTTTTGCGGTAATGTCTCAAAGATATTTTTTTATAGTTTAACCCTTCAAAAACAAAAGTGCAAAACAAAAGTGACTTTTTATTTTGCAGTTACTGGTCTAATTCAAAGGTAAAAGGCATCCTAATTTACCTCCGCTTGGTCCGTTTTAGCGAGAATAATACGCACCATCATATTGACATTTTCCTTGTTCCCTGGTTGATTATTACCATAGTCAGCTTCAGTAATTGAGGGTTCCTTTCCACATTTTTTTCCCTAAAGTATACAGATACCAATTACCATACGACCATCCAATTTCAGATCAAATTCTTTATTGTGTCAGCTGTAATAGCGACTACCTACTCCGTTTTTTTTATATTTTATTGCTTAGATGGGTGAACGAGCTCACAGCCCACCTGCTGTTAAGTGGTTACTGGAGCCCATAGACATCTACAACGTAAATGCGCCACCCACCTTGAGATATAAGTTCAAAGATCTCAGTATAGTTACAACGGCTGCCCACCCTTCAAACCGAAACGCATTACTGCTTCACGGCAGAAACAGGCAGGATGGTGGCGCCTACCCGCGCGGACTCACAAGAGGTCCTACCACCAATAATTAAGCAAATTATAATTTTGCGGGTTTAATTTCTATTACACGATGTTATTCCTTCACCGTGGAAGTCAATCCTAAACATTTGTTAAGTACGTATTTCATTAGACAAATTGGTACCCGCCTGCGGGATTCGAACACCGGTGCATCGCTCAACACGTATGCACCGGACGCCTTATCCTTTAGGCCACGACAACTTCAAACGACAACCACGTTTCAAACTAAACCGTATATTTCATGACACGTATAGAAGCTAGAATAAAAATAGCAACATTTAATATAAGTAATGTTAATATAGTTAATTATAAGAAAAAAATATTGGTTGTCTGTAGACGATTTACGGACGATAGTTTTATGTGATAACGTCATAAAGAAACACGGATGAAAAATTGCATACTTTTATGAATTAAATTGATTTATTATCACTGAATTATCATTATTTTTAATAATACAAAGAGGCTCATTGAAAAAATGAATTTTTTTTCGATAAATTAATGCTTGGACCGATCGTGCCTCTCTGTCGCTTGTCCCGCGCTCTCGCTTGCACGCGACGGAACGTGACACTTTTTCGTGCGTGCAGCCAGTGCTCATTGATTTATAAGACGTTATTTCGTCAAAAGAAGGTAGACAGAATAATATTCAAATGTCGACTCATAACAACTCCTTCACCACGAATATTGTAAAGTATTCGCGAAACATCGGTAATATTATAATGAAAATAACAAAGGCAAGATTAAAAGTAGCTACAACTATATATGTATATGACTAGCAACAAAAAAAGAAAATACTTTAACAATAATTATGCTTGATAAATCGTTAATCAGTCTCGGTATAAAACTTAATAACCGTCCTTATTATGATACCTACTACAAACAGCCACATTAATATAATTTAAAAATTGTTTAATTTTTCTAAATTAACTAGTTAGATAAATATTGTTGACTGTAACATGAGAGTGATAGCGTTTGGAAGCCTTGACATTAGACCCCTGTTTATCTGTCGTTAAGATTCATGTTCAATCAGTTCGAACGGAACGTTCGGAGCGATCGCACAATGTTCAAACTCTTACTATTCCTGACTCTTTTAACTATCGTAGCGTGCTGCCACCACGGGCGTTCCCATAAATGTCGTCACGAGAAGCCCAGCAAGTGCCGTCATGGTGGTAAGTTCGGCTGCAAAGGGGGAAGGCAGCCAGAACGCCCCGACTACGACAAGTACGGAGAGAATCAAAACAAAGAACTCATCGATGACCTGAGCAGGGACCTGAAGCAGATCGACGATCACCTGCGAAAGCTGTGCAATGAAAATGAAAACTCCGAAACCCGTGAAATGTTCGGGATCCAGAGCTACAATATCTTCGTACCGCTGACCGGAGTGAGCGCTGACAACATCGTCGTCAAAAGCAGATACAGATACGTGTATATAATCGCACGGAGAAATCCGCCGGCGAAGCCTTACACCGAAATCCGGAGGCTGTCGAAATTAGTTGATGTTTCTAGAGGATACTGGATGTACGACGGCCAGGAACTAATAATCCGTTTCAAATACGTCAATGCCGATACCGAAGAATCCTTTGACTGCGGAACTGATTACAATAATTCGTTAGTCACGATACCTAAGTCTGACGTAGACTACGTGTTAGACCTCGACGTGAGGTATGCGCTACAGAACAGCAATGTACAGAAGATAATAAGAGACCACTTCGAGAACTCGACCTCGCCGCGACCTATGCCGGAGTCTAATCAATTGGACGCAGCAGATCACAACGAACCAGAAGTCTTCTAGAAAAATACGTTTCTGACATGTTTCGTGTGCCACATTGTTTTGAATCAATACGTAATAAATAAAATTAATGTTTAATTGTGTTTATTCTCTATATCGACGCTTAAAAGGCAAACGTGACTAAGCGACAATAACTGCTTTGTACATAAATGATAAGCAATAACCATATTCGATGGGCAAAAAATATATATTTCTAGGTCTATTAAAATCATTTCAATCCTACAGCTAGATTCGTTAAAATATTTTTTTTTCAGGTATTTCAACTTTAAATTAGTCTACTGTAAAGTTCACGCATTGTCGCTTAGTCACGTTTGCCTTTCAAGCGTTGATATGTATTTTTCTTACAATCAAAGCGGAGCCAGGTCGGGTTTTACTAATAAATATTATTTTAAATTAGTTTTCTTTTACTTGTCATGTTGTTATTGCAATTTTTTTGAGTAAAGAGACAAATAAACTCAAAGACCTCCGTATAAGACTGACACTGGCTTGAGACATGATTTGACGTCAATTATGTTCAAACATTATTCATTTTATTTATTCAGTTTTTCTTAGATGGGTGGACGAGCTCACAGCCCACCTGGTGTAAAGTGGTGACTAGAGCTCATAGACATCTACAATGTAAATGCCGCCACCCACCTTTAGATATGAGTTCTAAGGTCTCAGTATAGTTACAACGGCTGCCCCCACCCTTCAAGCCGAAACGAATTACTGCTTCGCGGCAGAAACGGGCAGGGTGATGGTACCTACCCGTGCAGACTCACAAGAGGTCCTACCACCAGTAAAATTAGTACCAAAAGTTAAAAGAAATAAGAATGTGGCAGAGATTAGAATGAATTTACAAGGGAGAAGGAAATAGAATTGATTAAACAGCTATTACGGGTAATGGAAGAGGTACCTACTTATAATAATAATAATAATATTTATTCAAGCCTCTTAAAATACAAACACGTACAAAAATACTTAACACTAGTATAATAATATACATGGCTTTTTTATGAGGTATACAATAACAATATTCCCTGACTTTTATGCTAGGAAAAACCTGTGTTACAAAAGTCAGTGGTTCAGTGCTAGGTCACCAGATAAAGAAAGTTAACCAGGAAGAACGATCTGTAAGAATATAGTACGTACGTGTGTGTGTTTATGATTATGTATTTATTATTATTTCCACATTATGAACTGTATTATGAACTGTGGCGTATAACCTTGCCTGTATACCGTAACGAATAGCAGATTTTATCTAAATATTTTTTATAATGTTTTTTCAAACTTTCCTACGATCGTAAAGAATGCCGAACTCTTACCAAAACCATAGAATTTAACAATTAAAATTTAAATTCGTATAGCGCCATCTAGATCTAATTTACGTAAGTGAAGTAGCCTTGCTAACCGAGACATAGATGTCGCTTCATTTAACTTGATATTTTTACTTTGTAACTGAGAGAGGTCGCCACTGACCAATTTATTTTTAAATTTACACTTTTACAGTAGATAGGCAGCGGCTTGGCTCTGCCTCTGGCATTGCTGAAGTCCATGGGCGGCGGTAACCACTCACCATCAGATGGGCCGTATGCACGTATGCCTATAGAGGCAATAAAAAATAAAAATAAAATCACAAACACTCGACTTTGTAGTTAGCAAAAGTAATATAGCAATGAAGGATAACTTTTTTTAAATATAATAGTATGAAGTCCCCACACGAAAAAAATATCGATAGTATTGAATAATCACTTTTTAGCAGACTAAGCTAAGCTTTTCTGCCACGTACTATCCGGCTTTGGAATGAGCTCCCCTCCACGGTGCTTCCCGAGCGCTATGTCATGTCCTTCCTCAAACGAGGCTTGTGGAGAGTTTTAAACGGTAGGCAGCGACTTGGCTCTGCTCCTGGCATTGCTGAAGTCGATGAACGATGGTAACCACTCACCATCAGGTGGGCCGTAAGAAGATATACCTCTGTGGGTCGCGATTCAGATCTAATGGTAGGTTCTGCGAAGCACTGCTCTTGCTAGGGCTAATTTTGGAAGATTCTCTCAAGCTGAGTCCGTAATCTCACCCACCTGTCCACGTGACGCTGGGATAGCCCCTTAGGCTACCAGCAATGGGTAGGAATAGGTAAGAATAAGAAGGAATTGGTAAGGTAGATTAGTTAAGAAAAAAATCAAGTTTGCCTTTATAACGGGTGTGGGCGAGGCAACTTCACACAGTCAAATCTGTGAAAGCATTTTCATCGGCGAACAAGAGTGATAAAAAGTATACACAATATTGATATTTTAAAATTCAAAGGAATGAGATACATTTAAGAAAAATACCGAAACACATATTTAAAACTTTAATGTAAACTTACTTAATTAGGATCAATATATTGTAATATATAATACAACAACAACTACAAAGGAAGATTAGATGACGTGAAGATTCACTTCGGACAACTGCGAAGTGTAACTTCAATTGAGTCGACTATTATCAAAGGCGGCAATCTGACTTTTGGACAATGATTGGTAAATCAGAAAAACGAATTATTGACTTTGTATTCCATGGGCAGTCACAAAACTCTTCGGAACGACATCTTAGATAAATAACAGGTTAACTATTAACCTTTATTTAATGCAGGTTTTGAACCGTATTCTTTGAAGGAGACGATTATATTCAAATAAATCTGTATTGACATATCAATAAAAATTTTTTGTCCAAATGTACAGATTGCCGCCTTTGATAATAGACGACTCAATTACAATACTGAAAAACGTCAAAACATTTGCTAGTTACAGTTCTTGGCGCATTTTGAGCTATCCAAAGTTGAGTAAGACCGCCATTACTTATCCTCCGCAGCGCAATATACAATCGTTTTTTATCGTTGTAGATTGACGGTCGGACGTGTAGGGCATCAGGCGTAAAGCCACCGGAGCCCTCAGCCGGGGGCGCTGGTGCCCATCAGAGGTGGTACCTATTCCGCATTCGCGCACCATCACATTACGCCATTGTTTTTTTATTGCTTAGATGGGTGGACGAGCTCACAGCCCACCTGGTGTTAAGTGGTTACTGGAGCCCATAGACATCTACAACGTACGCCACCCACCTTGAGATATAAGTTCTAAGGTCTCAGTATAGTTACAATGGCTGCCCCTTCTTTCAAACCGAAACGCATTACTGCTTCACGGCAGAAGTAGGTAGGGTGGTGGTACCTACCCATGCGTACTCACAAGAGGTCCCACTATCAGTAATTACAAGAGTTTGTTACCACGTATTAAGAACACATTCACTTAGAAGAATTGGTCAATTTCAACTCTAGCATTGTCGTGTAATGCGATGTGAGCACACATGAAATTATAATTAGAACACGCACGCTCTACGTATTTTTATGGCACGAAATGTAATATAAATAAATATAAAAATGCGCGCGGGCTGCTCAAAGAAACAATCGTCTTAAAATATTTACAAAATAAGAAGTATTCACTGTAACATCTCGTTTGAACTTTTCTTCGAAGCTTAATCTAGTACTCATAGTTCTTGTTTTCCTACAAAATGACTTTACTTTTAGTTAACAATAATATATCAAGCTATTTAAAGTCGAAACGATACTCTCGCGAAAATACGAACATTCGAGATTATTATTTAAATATTATGTTATTGTGGAATATATTTTTAAAAACATTTATCTTATTACATTATTTACAGTACGCACTACATTAATAAGTCTTTTTTTTATGTATCAAACTGATTTTTATTTTCAACAAAAAAATCTATATTTTTTTTGTATATAAATGCCAACAAGAGCGCTTCATTTATACAAAGCGGTTTCATTGTATAAAAAATATTACAAAGAACCTTTATACAATCTCAACGAAAGAAAAACCTGCATTAATACGCTAAGTGCAGATTTTAATGCAATTAATTTCTGAAGTGAAACTTCTAATGCGACTTCCAACAAGGTTGCGTTAAACATTTAACGCTACCATGGAATAGAAAGAGACAGAGCGAGAGTGAATGCGTGGACTGGAACGCACGCGCATAGTATACCTGATACAGGCCAGCGCGACCGTTAGCAACGAATAGTGTCCAATATTTTAATGAAGAAGTATTTAAAAAAATATGTATATAAATTTATTTTTCTATCTATAATTTAAAATATAATGTTGAAGATATCGCATTTCTTATACACATCATTCCCTATTACAATAGCAATCTGATTTAAGGATGAAAAATGAAGAAAACCGCAATCACTACACTTCGAAAAAGAAGTTTCACTTCATTCACGTGGACCAAGTTCCACGCGCACGGTTTTTTATTTAGACACAGTGCTACGTACTGCCGGTACATAGATACCACAGGCCATCTTAATTTTAGAAGTTCCCGCGTCAAACTTACATCATGTTTACAAACGAATACAGCCTAAATACAACAACTGTTAAATATATTTGTGGCATAATTATGGCACAATTAAATGTTAAAGTTACTTAATTTAAAATATGTATATATATAAAAAGTATTTGGCAACTATTTGGTCCGTTCAGCCAAACTATGAAGATTTAAGATACTTTTAATAAATATCGCTAGTTGAGATTATTTACATATTAAACATACATCAAAACGTTCGGTACGTTTGTTTGTACGTAAGAGAACGTCGTCCTTATCGACTTCAACACTATGAAGATAGAAGTAAGTAGGATCGTCCTGTATAGAGGACAAGTTGAATAATCAGTGGGCAGCGGTTTGGTTCTGCCCTTGGCATTACTGTAGTCCATAGTCGACGGTAACCGCTCACCATCAGGTGGGCCGTATGCTCGTTTGCCTACAAGGGCAATAGAAATAAAATAAACAAATAAGAGTCCAACTGCAAACAGCGAGTTATTTTTGAAAGTTAACATCTTGCAGTACAGTCGTACATAAAATTGCTGCCAATGTAGGCAGACGAGCATCCGACCCACCTGATGGTAAATGCTTACCGTCGCTCATGGACGTCAGCCATGTCAGGGGCACAACCAAGTCGCTGCCTACGATAAAGTGTACCTACCATAAAGCATGTAAATAGTAAAATTTAGTAGTAGCAATATTTTTAAATATCAAATGTCAGTGGTTAAAGTGTGATTACAATCAACTTTTCAAATATTAAATAAATGTACATTCTAATTAATTTTCCAAAACTTTGATTAATACAATTACGAATTACTTTAACTAAGTTTCTTGTGAATCTAATATAATTGTCTAATTTATACACACATATAAACTAGCGGACCCGTCAGACTTTGTCCTGCAAACACAAAATGAATGAAATGAATGAATGAATGATTGCATACCAAAAAAAATCATTCAAGTGTATCCAGCCGTTTAGTTGCAGTATGTATAAATAACCTAGATATCGATTGCAGCGCCATCTGTCGGGCTGGTTTGTGAATCTAAGCCATCCAGGGCCATCCAAACGTATACAAAAAAATCATTCAAATCGGTCCAGCCGTTTAGGAGTTCAGTGACGTACACACGTATAGTAGAATTATATATATAAAGATACATAACCAGGTATATAACACGTAATACATCTGTGTGCTTAGTGCGAGTTTTTTAACTTCTCAATCACGTAAATTTAACTCAAATTTGTATGGAGTTGGAACAGCGCCCCTAGAGGCGCTAATGGTAGGGGCTCTATTCCAAAATTCTATAAGTTAAAAAACTCGCACTAAGCACACAGGCGTCTTTATGATTATTATTTTTATTGTTTAGGTGGGTAGACGAGCTCAGAGCCCACCTGGTTTTAAGTGGTTACTGGAGCCCATAGACATCTACAACGTAAATGCGCCACCCATCTTGAGATATAAGTTCTAAGGTATCTGTATAGTTACAACAGCTACCCCACCCTTCAAACGAAACGCATTACTGCTTCACGGCAGAAATAGGCAGGGCGGTGGAACCTACCCGCGCGGACTCACAAGAGGTCCTACCACCAGTAAAATTATATATATAACTTATCGTATTTGTCTACTCTGAAATATCGCTACTTCAACAAATATTCACATACTAGTTTAAGAAATAGTCATCGGATGATGACACGTCGTCTGTTTTGTTTGTTATTATATTTGACAGAGGCTAATTCTAAATCAGCATCAGCTACCACACGTTTTCATCAATGAGCCGCCATTAAATACAATTAACAAGATGGCGGCGCTATATAACTAGAGACACTGAGGCGTAATTAAAATTATTTTTCATTAAAATCGATATTTTCCTACGAAAAGCATAATGTATTCGAAAAATTTGAAATAATGTAATGAGAATTAAAAAAAAAAACAGTAATTTCGTGTCTGCGAATCCGGAAACAGAATATCAATGTCAAGGCGTTCTTACTTTGACATTTGTATTAGTACTTGTAAAGTTATGCATATACAGTTCACGACTGCGGCCTTATTAAAATAATATATAGGTCTTAATAAACTAATATTTACAATTTCATCAATCTTAAATAACTCCCAAACGTTTTTTTTTTTTTTCGGAATATAAAGATCATCAACTCTGATAAATCATTATTTTAAATCGATTTTGTTTTATTATCGACTAGCTGAGTCCCGCGATGTTACCCGCGGTTATTGTCGTACCGCGGGTTACGCCGCGGGGCGAAGCTAATCTAAAAAAAATAGCCTAAGTTACTCCTTATATTATCAGCTTAGTGAGTCTCGTCAAAATCAGTCCAGCTGCTCCAGTGATTAGCCAGAACAAACAGACAGATAAAAATTGTAAAAATGTTATTTTTATTGTATGTATCGTATTCATATGCATGTAAAAAGCGGTTATTTCAATATTACAAACGGACACTCAAAATTTTTATTTATATATAAGTAATACTAGAAACACTAGTATTATATATTAGTATTATACTCGTAGTAATTCTAGATTACAAATATGCAATGATAGCTTCTAGGCGTTTTACTCATTGTTCCGTCAAAGTATTTATTAAAGTGAAACATTTATTACATCGTCTCAAACTTTTTCGTCTGTGTGTTGCATGTCGCGTGACGGTCGGCCGCGGAGTGGGGATAAAGTGAAAGGCGCTCGTCAGAGCAGCCAAGGCCAATATGGCGGCGCCTATAGTTCGCAGCAGCTGACCGTGTAGTGTATAGACTATTACTTATTTGTGACAATGCTCAACGCTATTTGGTTTTTTTTGTCAGTGTTTAGTATAAATGTTGTTTATCACTAAAACAATAAAAAGTTCCACTTTTACCGTGATTTCATAAAACCGCACAATCCTTTTTCGCCCGTAGATCGAAAACACTAGAATTAACGAGAAATTCGTCATCAAATTCAAACGTAGCAATTGAACTACCAAATAAAAAGCACTATTGAACTTGTAAATGTACTTGACACAGTTCAGACGTCGAAGAGCAGCGCAATGTTGTGCCGCTCGGCCGAACGCTAGTAATGTTCGCCGTGCGTGTGCCGGTACGCGAGCGCGTTCGCGTGCGTTCGCGAGTACGTGCCGTACGCGTTATCCTCCGGACGACGAACTCCGTACATCGAATCGCGGCGTTCTGTGACAGCGGCGCCTGTAAACCATTTCGACACTTCAGTTTTTGTTTTAGTATAGATAAATTAATAACGAAGTTTTTTTTATTTTTTTAGTGCTTAGATGGTTGGACGGGCTCACAGCCCACCTGGTGTTAAGCGGTTACTGGTACCCATAGACATCTACAACGCAAATGCCGCCACCTACCTTGATATCTAAGCTCTAAGGTCTCTATAAGTCTCTAATGTTTTAAGGTCATGTCATAAAAAAATGTAATTTCAAAACCAATTCGACTACCCAAAACCTGAATATTCAGCTTAGTACGTATACTGTGTATCATACTGTTACGCCGGTAGGAGTAACGCCATCTATCGTGGAATAGTCGAACGAATATCGAAGGATCTAGTAGCACCTAGAATGCTCGAGAAGTACAACGCCATGTTTGTCAGATAGCGGAAACAATACTAGAGATGTGTGGAATATTCTCGATAATTCTAGGGATGTGGTATCGACTATAAGAGCGTTGCAGAGATGGCACGCAGTCAGGCAGTAATCGGAACTACTCGAAGCGAAACAGCGAACGGATCACCTGAAGCGAAGCGAATTGAGAGTTTTAAAGCGTTTGTTGAGTGTTTTAAGTGTTGAATACAGTTTTTAGTTGTACTCCGGTAGAATTTTATTTATCCCGAACCACAGCGCGTAACAGTACTCTTCGAGGCGGAAGGAAGATGAGCAAAAACAAACCTGCGGGTCCGGGTCTGATTCCGTTGGCGGCGCCGTAAGGGGGATCCCGCTGTGCGTTCTGCGCGTTCTGGTTGTGCGTGTGTGCGTGAGGGGCGGGGGCGCGCAGCGGCAGCGGGGCGGGGGGCGCCGCGGCCGCGCTCGCCACGCCGCTCGTCGCCGAACTGCCTTTACTGTACACCGACTGCGACCTGGAACGCACGTACAACATTACAACAACTACCATCACTATATATATACACTATATAAACACTATATTATATATGTCGGCGCAACGTCACTATATTATATTTAACTAAATTTAAAGTATTTCTTGAATGTTACGAATGTCAACAACTGTTTAAGATGGTATTCAAGAGAATTCATGACTAAGCTACCCTCACTGTCCACGAAAAATACGAGTGACTATTGTCGCACAAAACATTCCGGCTCGAGCAGCCGAACGAGGCGGAGCTCACTGTTATTATCCTTGTACCCTTGAAATCAAATAAATGGAATTCATTTGAAAAGTGAGCCTTAATTACTGTCACTTTGGAAGGTAATAATAATGATGAAGAGAATGACGTCAGCATCGCATTATTTTATATAAACACCATTGAACCAGTCACTCCGTCATATATAAAAGGAGGTTCTCAATTAGAAATAATCTGATTAATAATTACAAAAAGTTTTAAAGTTTATATATCATTACTGCTTCACGGCAGAAATAGGCAGGGCGGTGGTACCTACCCGTGCGGACTCACAAGAGATCCTACCACCAGTGAATTCGACGAGTATGAAACAACTTAAAAATTAGTCTTAAAATCATCTAGAATTAATAAATAAATAAAACTTATTTTAGAGTTGTTGTCAATATATACCTGTGCAAAGCATGTCTAGCGGGCGGCGGTGATCGGCAGTACAGAGACTTAGTTCCAGAATACAAAGGCTCCGCCGTGTCTGGTCGAGGAGCTGCAGCGCAATACGACGGCCGGTAATGATGATGGGCAGAAGGGAACACGGGTTTGTCCAGCTCGTCCAGATCTCGTGGTGTTGAGGCCCGCGAGGAGGACGTGCGGCGTTTTCGGCTGCCCCACTCGTGAAGAAGCGCACTGGCTACTCCCCCACCGAGACCCCCCACCCAGCACACCCAGTGGCTCTCCCACCGTGACAGGACAAACGATGGTCCCAGTGACCGCGCCGGATTCAATGATGGCATCTGTAACATAATCATATTTTGCTAAAACACTGATAGTTATTCCACTGGAACGTATTGTGAGCTAGCACGGGTAGATACCACAATCCCGTCTATTTCTGCTGCGAAGTAGTCAGTCGCTCTGGCTTAGCGTGGCCCCGGTCACCGTCCTCCTCGAACCCGTCGCTTGCGACGAAGGGCTCGACGAGCGAACTAACCCATAGACACAGCCCACTGAGTTTCTCGCCAGATCTTCTCAGTGGGTCGCGTTTCCGATCCGGTGGTAGATTCTGCGAAGCACTGCTCTTGCTAGGGTCAGTGTTAGCAACTCTCCGGTTTGAGAACCGTGAGCTCACCTACAAACGTTAGGGTGAAGCTGAAATAGCCTGTCAAGGCTATCAGCATAGGTAGGAAACAAAAAAAAAAGGTGAGATATCTGTTACATAACAATGCTCAGCTCTACGAGTGGACTCATTCACCAATAAATGCAAATAACAACAACAATGAGACTTGGATGAAGAGTCCATGTGGATGGGATATCGGAAAACCCTTAATACCCATAGTCTATTCGTCTTTCTGTCTAAAACTTCGAACAAGTAATAGTAAGTAATAGAACATTTACTGCATCCCATAAAGTGTTTAGCGAAAATAATATTGGTTTTGTAGCTTTAGATCTTACAATGGAAGAAAATACATTCAAAGTTAAGTAATGAGTTAAATTGTCCGTTTCTTTGATTTAATACATTGCGAAATGTTTACGATGAAAACTATTCGTTGGTTAATGACATACATTGCTGACGTCCATGAGCGACGGTGACCACTTACCATCAGGTGGGCCGTATGCTCGTCTGCCTACAAAGGCAATAAAAATAAAATAAAAAACCTAACATTTTCTTACTACACAAATAATTATCGATTAATGCAATTTCAATATTAATAAATACATATTCTTTTCGTGAGTATCAACGGCAACAACTTATAATAGATACGAACGATAAAGCGGGGAACAAATGATCCTCATCAAAAAACACTTAAACACAACAACTACTGGAACTATCACGAAATTGAAATTGAAATTTAATTAATATGCACAAATTAAAATTGAGAAATTCTAAATACAAGCATTTGTCAATATCAACTCAGTTTAGTGTCTAACACAAACAAACTACAATCTAGACCATTAAAACTATTTTATACATTTACGAATTACATTTCAAATCAAATCAAACATTTTTTATTCAACATAAATGAAAGTACACACTTGTTGAACGTCAAAAAGAACCACCGCCAATTCACAAGAACTAGCCTCCGTCCTGAGAAGAACTGGCAAGAAACTCAGCGGGTGTCTTTTTTTTAAATATTAGATTATTTTTTTTAAATATTCATTTTTACAAGATGTATTATAACGTTACACTTACTGCAATATTGAAAAGCCCGGAGCGAGCAACTCATTCCCACTTTGTGCAATCTTCTAGATAATCATTCGACTTTATAGTAAGCTGTATTGCACAGATGTTCTGTAATAGTTTTCTTAAACCAATATATATGTAGGTTCTGAAAACCTTGTGGGATTTTGTTGTACAGGCGCACAGACAAACACCCGAATGAATTTCGTATCTTATGTAACATTCTCTTCGGCACATCAAGCTTGTGTTTGTTCCTAGTACTTCTATTATGTAAGTCAGACTTTTTAGGGAACTCCTCAATATGTTTACGAACATACATCAAATTTTCATTTTATTTTGCAATCAAAATAAGACGAGGAGTACATGAATCTGTATTTATGTCGCGCGACAGATGCTCTGTCAGCTGCCCTACCACAATGGCAGGTAGCTGACGTACAATAAGCAGGAAGCGAGATGAAAGGACGCGCACGTATTGTTCTCTGGTTTTATGTGTCTTGCGTGTTCCTTTATAGCGAATAGATAAGCCTTCGAAGGACTTCGATTGATGTTTTTTGTTTGTTTGTTTGTTATATTCGTCTGTAAATCGACATACATTGAAATTTGCAGGTTGATAAAAAAAAATCTTATATTGATATAGCTATTGGTTACAAGCAAATCTATGGACAATTTTTATCTACTCGCTGTTTATTTAAATATGCGGGTATCTTGACTAAAATACGTTATCAATTTTTTTCCTACCTAAGCTGATGGTCTAGAGAGACCGTATCAGCGTAACCTTAACTAGTAAGTGAGCTCACGGAGCTCAAACCTGTCGACGTTGCTAACACTAACCCTAACAAGAGCCGGGCCTCGTAGAATCTACCACCGGATCGGAAACGCGATCCACTGAGAAGATCCGGCGAGAAACTCATGGGGCTGTGTCTTTGGGGTCAAATTAAACGGCAGGTTTCAATAGTCTAAAATTGCATAATATTTGTAACCAGACTTTTTCTTTTTGTTTTTTATGATATGCCGATGTTTATCTTGATGGACCTTTTAGGTAACGCACCATTGTTCTTGCTAAGTAGACGGACGGTCCGGGTTAAGGAATTATTTAAGTATTTTAATTATTGAAAATGCGATATTTGCCATTGAATCTAATATACAGCTACATAATCCCTTGTAGTTTTCAGTTATTAAAAACTATTAATTGGATATGTGCATGCGACCTCGTAATAGTATTGCTAATGTGACGGATTAGCAATAGTTACGAGTTATTAGTTCTCCTCCTATATTCCTACCTCCTATCATAGTCGTCGTGGCCTAAAGAAATAAGACGTCCGGTGCATTCGATCTGGCAATGCAACGGTGTTCGAATCCCGCTGGTGGGTACCAATTTTTTTAATGTACTTAACAAATGTTCACGATTGACTTCCACGGTGAAGGAATAACATCGTATAATAAAAATCGAGCCAGCACAATTATAATTTGCGTAATTACGGTAGGACCCCTTGTGAATAAACTCTAAATAGACAAAATAACACAAATCACATAACTTCACTTCTCGCGTTCCCGCCAAGTCCAACTACAGTTCTAGATTTACAATTAAACGCACCGAAACGAAGCTCGCAGCACAGTAGGCCGCTCCCAGGAGGGCGGGGGCGGCTCCGGTCCACCGTCGCTCCATCGCGGCAAAATACGCCGCAGCCACCAGCGCCGACAGCACGAGCTCCGTGCCGAGTCGCTCCCACGCCGCGCCACCGCCCGGCAGCGACGCTGATAGCCCTCCACCGTAGCCCGGCACGCTTACACTGCAATATAAATTCAATATGTTATTAAGTAGTAAGTTATTCTGAAGTCGTCGTGGCCTAAAGGATAAGACGTCCGGGATGTTCGAATCCCGCAGGCGGGCACCAATTTTTCTAATGAAATACGTATTCAACAAAATTAAATGTTCACAAATGACTTCCACGGTGAAGGAACAACATCGTTTAATAAAAATCAAACTCGCAAAATGATTATTGTTATTATTCACATAAGGTACAATTTAATGTCATAAACACCACGTGTTGCTGAGGCTTAAGTATAAGTGAAATATTTTTCGTAGTAAACGCAATACAGTGAAATCCAATTGTTCTTATTTTGTTAATTTTTGGTATTAGCATAGCCAGACACGTGATATTTAAAAACAAAAACCTTAGCCACAGCAACTTGTGGCCGGATCTGCTAGTATGTTATATAAATAACAAATAAAAGTTCTCTTTTGAAGTAATAGAAATAATAAACTCAATCAAGACCTACATGCTACACTTAAATGGCACAACGTAACTGCATTGAGCCGTTCTCAATAGCTATTGTCGAGTTGTGATGTGGTTGAACCAATTTGTTACACAACACACAGCGTATTATAGCAAAGAGCGACTGTACGTTTATACAAACAACAGTGTAACTTCAACTTGTGCTCTGTAGAAGTAGGTACAGGTTTTTACACTTGATCAAACTACTTTGAGTTTTTTGAAGCTATACTTCTTTAGGCGCGTTATGAAAAATGGATGAGAGTGAAATTTTACGATGCGCGCGCACCGTGACACAAAATTAACAGAAACGAAGTTGCCCACTAAATCGCTCATTACAATACGACCGACGTAACTTGGCGAGTCTGAATATAGCCGCAGGTGAACTTTCCGAGCCGTACCGAGAATTACCGAATTTATACGATGTCAAGAAAAGGGATGATCAATATGCGTGTTTGAGGATGTTGTTTAACCGATTTTTTCTTCAAATTGATTAAAATTTAAATAAAAAAAAAAGAAATTAATTTAATAAAAATAAAGTATAACTTCTTACGCGCGTACATAAGTACACGCACCCTTTTTTTTCTTCTGTTTGTAGCTTAATAACATATACGATAGAGCGTAACAAAAGAAAGAGTTGAAATATATATTTTTCATTGACAGCTTTAACAGTACACAAAATTGCGATAAAATAACAGGTCATTCAGTTATATCAGAAAAAAATCTCATCATAATTCTACAACGGCCGTAAAACATTCGTGGTTAGCAGGAGTTTTTACCAACATCAAAATCAGATTTATCAGCTAGGCGAAACAAATCCATTAAGACATTGTGACACAAACAGATATGAACACGCTTGAAAAATAAGAGGAAAAAAGCAAGTCTAAGGGGCAGTCGGATAAAAAGATAATTGCACTGCGTAAAGTAATGTACATTCATGCCAGCCACAAAGCTTCTCCGACTTATTCTGGTCAGAGCGTTACTAGAGTATGACCGATTCGTCTAGTGACTAGTGACCGCGCTATCTATACTCCTGATGGCGTCGACGGTGACTTGCTCATGTAAGAGTCAGTCGACGCCCTAGGCAAGTCCTTACGGTTCCTCCCGATCAACTCTGGTTAACAACAGCGCAGGTTATCATGAAAAGCTCGACGCTAAGTTTCAGCCCATTGAATCATCCCGGTTTCTCGCGAGATCTTTTCAGATGAGAGCTCGAAGTAGCTGTTCTTGAACTGTTAGACCCTCCTCTGAGTGGCACTGCAACAGCTGCTTTTTTTTTCCTACCTATGGTGATAGATTGAGAGGCTATTTCAGCTTCACCCTAATATGTAGGTGAGCTCACGGGGCTCAAACCGGAAGTGTTGTTAACACGCGCCTTAGCAAGAGCAATGCCTCGCAGAATCTACCACCGGATCGGAAACACGACCCACTTAGAAGATCTGGAAAGAAACTCAGTGGGCTTGATAACAGCTGTTAGCATACTTTCCCCTTCTGGCCCTTGAATTAGCCCAGCGGCAAGGAATCTGGTCCAGTTTCAGAGTTTTGAACCATTTTAATGGTAGTGGTAGTAGTGGTAGTAGTAGTAGTAGTAAAAACGTATTTAGCCTTTTAAGCTTGAACTTTTTATAGATAAATGAGCTTATTACTAACAATAACTGTAGGCAGTTCTTGTAAACAGTAAATAAAATGTTGATAAGATTTTATTTTCAGAATTCATTTGGCCGGCAAACGAAATTCCTTTTTTTTTTTCTTAAACACACTTTATCATCAGCACCCGCATTATACCAAGTCTCATTTATCACGAGAATTCATTCACAATTGAACCGTTTTAATTAAAACGAAAGAATGTAACGTCTCTGAAACGGTGGAGGATGTCAAAGAATATCGAAATAGATGGATCCGACCTTTTTATTTTAATTATTTTTTGTTTTGGCAAGTTTTTTTTTTCTATACTAGTTTTATTTTTTTTGAATGCACAGGATTGGTACGTAACATCTACAATATAGATGATGAATGTATAGAAAAAAACTATCTTCATGTGTACGTAGATTCTACATGCATATGTTGAGGAGTGTCTTTATACCTTTGATTGCATTATGTCCAGATTCGCAAGGGTAGGTACCACCTCCCTGCTTATTTCTGCCGTGAAGCAATAATGCGTTTCGGTTTGAAGGGTGGGGCAGCCGTTTTTTTTTTTATTGCCTTTGTAGGCAGACGAGCATACGGCCCACCTGATGGTGAGTGGTTACAGCAATGCCAAGGGCAGAGCCAATCCGCTGCCTACCGCTTAACCTACTTGAGACCTTAGAACTCATATCTCAAGGTGGGTGGCGCATTTGGATGGCTGGCTCCAGTAACCACTTAACACCAGGTGGGCTGTGAACTCATCCACCCGTCTAAGACATAAAAAATAAAAAAAAATTCGGTCGGATGAGATAAAACTCGTCCGAAGCAGGTCAGGCTGGAGTCAAAAGGATGCGTACCCAACTCGTCCACCGATAACAGTAACTAAAAACCCAATTATGAAATCTTACAACGAGAAGCACGTAAACAATACCAGTAAAGTCCAATGGGTATGGCTTTGATGTTATTTTATGTGCTTATAATCTATTAAAACCAATTGATTAAAGAGAATACTTATAATGTTTTATTTATATACAGAGGAGGGCCGTTCGGATTGTCGATAATCCCATTCTCACGGATCGTTTGGAACCTCTGGGTCTGCGGAGGGACTTCGGTTCCCTCTGTATTTTGTACCGTATGTTCCACGGGGAGTGCTCTGAGGAATTGTTCGAGATGATACCGGCATCTCGTTTTTACCATCGCACCGCCCGCCACCGGAGTAGAGTTCATCCATACTACCTGGAGCCACAGCGGTCATCCACAGTGCGTTTCCAGAGGTATTTTTTGCCACGTACCATCCGGCTATGAGCTCCCCTCCACGGTGTTTCCCGAGCGCTATGACATGTCCTTCTTCAAACGAGGCTTGTGGAGAGTATTAAACGGTAGGCAGCGGCTTGGCTCTGCCCCTGGCATTGCTGAAGTCCATGGGCGACGGTAACCACTCACCATCAGGTGGGCCGTATTCTCGTCTGCCTACAAGGGCAATAAAAAAAAAAAAACTTAAAATATTTACTTAATACTTAAAAGGTTTTGATGCTGGCAATATTTTTCCCGCAAAAATCAAAAACCTTGTTTTTTCAGTAGAGTTACTTTTTATAAACTACTTATTGTAAACTGTAGTGGCGCTCACGTGGAAGAAAATAAATGCATATTTATTAATGCACTGAGTATTTTTTCTCTAATCTATTGTCCGCTTTGGGCCTGACATGGGCATTCCCCTTTCGCTCCCATTTTCAACGATCCGGTGCAAAGGAAATTATTTGCTTTCGCCTTTTTTGAAGCGATGACTCGACAAATACGTCAAGTTGTCCCTTTTTAATTTAATCAACAGCTAATTACGAGAGTTGAGTGAAACATAAAAAGCTCGTGTTGACGTAGACCAGTATTTTGTCTGTACAAATATTTTAAGTACTCCACTCTTAGTCTCACTATATACTCAACTTTCGATGCAGATACACAACGCGAATGCTCACGAGTGTTCACTGAGAAGCTTCTCGGCGTTTTAATGATGTTTTTAATTAAATTTGTTTTTAACTTTACACAGGCAGCCAAACTACGTTTTATTACCAACAAGTACTCGTATATAGTATACAGATTTTTGTGGTGCTTATAAACACACAATTGCAGTTAATGACAGCAAAATGGTGTTAGTTATTTAATGCCTAGCGTTTGTTTACCTAGCCTATAATTAGAGTAGGTAAACCAAAGCTTCCGTTTCCTGAAACATGTCTTGTCGGATCCCCTGGATCCATTCTCAACGCTTTTAAGCTCTTCAAGCAGAGGTCACCGTCCTCGTGGAAATTGTCGATAACGACGAGCGAACTAAACCATAGACACAGCTCACTGAGTTTCTCGCCGGATCTTCTCAGTGGGTCGCGATTCCGATCCGATGGTAAACTCTCCGAAGTACTGCCCTTGGTAGGGCCAGAGTTAGCACATTCTCTCAGGTTGAGCCCTTTGAGCTCAACTACCAGTCACAGCGTAGTTGGAATAGCCCCATAAGCTATCAGTGAATTAATATGGAAAATTAACCCACAGACACAGCCCACTGAGTTTCTTGCCGGATCTTCTCAGTGGGTCGCAAAACCGATCAGGTGGTAGATTCTGCGAAGCACTGCTCTTGTTAGGGCTAGTATTAGCAACGTCCTCAGGTTAGAGCCCCGTGAGGTCAACTCCTCGTTCGTCAACGCTAACATAGTCCCAAAAGCTACCAGCATAGGTAGGAAAAAAACAATCGGGAAAATAAAATTAAAAATTTGAATATAATTACGACCGTAATATCGGGACGTGGATAGACATAAAAATATTTAAGTAAATAATCAGTACTAGAGTAGTCTATAAAAGTGAACCTGCTTATTCTTCAAAATGAGTCGGCAATTTTAATGAAATGACCG